AACTTTTTTAAAGGATATCTTGAAATTGAGGAAACTTGAGCATGTTGTAGGATATAAAGCACACTGTGACTTTCTTTGCTATCTTGGATTTGTGTTCATAGTGTTACTTTTTCCTCTCCTCCATTCCCCTCTTAATGGACATAAAGAGGTTCAGAAAAGATGGTGACAGTTGATAATAGAGCAGTTTCCCATGAGAGCTGGAGTAGATGTGCTTCAGAAATTAGTCTAGGCAAATGGAGAGGAGGAAACATTTTAAGAGACAGGAATGAGGGGCTTCCCTGGTGACGCAGTGGTTAAGAATCCGCCTGCCAATGCAGGGGACACGGGTTCGAGCCGTGGCCCAGGAAGATCCCACATGCCGTGGAGAAGCTAAGTCCGTGCACCACAACTACTGAGCCTGCGCTGTAGAGCCCGCAAGCCACAACTACTGAGCCTGCAAGCCACAACTACTGAAGCCTGTGTGCCTAGGGCCTGTGTTCCGCATGAAGAGAAGCCACCACAGTGAGAAGCTCGCTCACCGCAACTAGAGAAAGCCCGCGCACAGCAACGAAGACCCAACACAGCCATAAGTAAACAAATTTATTAAAAAAGAGAGACAGGAATAAAAGGATGTTGATTAAGATACACAGGAATTACGGGCAGAGTTAGTGAATGGCCTCTGAAGTAGTTGAAGCTCTGTAAATAGTAAGGAAAGTCAGATGTAATCATGTTGGTATCTTGATGAATAAATAGGATTGATATTGCTTTTAACTGACAGGAAAAGAGTACATTTTACATTGTACATCCCAGTATGGCAGCAGTCTCCATATATTCAAGTGTTTTGTGGGAAAGCGGGGCTTAATACATGGAATTTCACTTTCTATAAAAAGGTGTTAAATGATAATTGCTCTTTCTTTGAAGGTGCTAGAGGCCAATAGTCTCTGAAGATTCTTTTTGTACATAAGTATCCTTAAATCTTGGCTATCTTTGTTGAACTGTATAGTCTTGTAGGCTTGACCAGAGATCGCTTCTCAATTTGTGAATTAAGAAATAAGATCCAAAAAGGTCATGACTTTTTCATGGCCTTAGACAGTTAAAACCTTTCATACTTTCATGTTCAGAGGGATGTGTGTGTGTGTGTGTATTTATATATCTGTGTATATATACACACACACATATATATAGAAGGACCCAAATCCCAGAAATTGCTTGCCTATGACTTGGGTTCTTCGCTGTGAATAAATTTCCCTCCTCCAGGGGAGAACACTGGAAGATGGCAATTGTTTCTGTAGAATACATAAATTAACCTGTTGTTAAAAGTAGGTAAGTCAGTGAGGTTGCTTTTTTCCCCTTCTATACTTTTACTTTCTGGTTGATGGAGTTCACTTCCATCAGTCGATTATATTTTAGCCTTCTAAATTGAGTCACTAAATCAGTTAAACAAGAAACTGATCTGTAAGTTACATTTAAGTCAGTGCAGTTAACTGAAACACCATCCTCTAAGTAACCTCTTCATTTCATTTTATCATTCCCTGGGAGAGCCTCCCCGTAACTTTAAAAAAGTGTACTCTGCATAGCCCCTTATGTATAGCTATTTGTTTAAGCTTTTACCAGATTAGCACTGCCTTATCTTGTTCACCATTTGAAGTTCACTTTTCAGGTTAGCCTTTTTTGAATAAATAATAATTTATTGAGTTAATCAAGTAAAAGTTACCTCCACTGCCCATCTCCTTTGCCTGTCTCTCTGATCTAAATTGATATCATGGCCTTATGGCCATCAACCTTAGTGACTATATAGGTAGTGGGCAATGTGAAGCCTCTCCCGAACTTTGTTACAGTAACTCTAGTGTATTTTGACCTTTCTCTGACATTGATATGTGTATTGGTACCTTTTTTTTTTTTTCACTTTGGTTATATGTAGGTGACAAAAATGGTAGGTGAATATGTACTTTATAAATGTGATGGGAAATTGGGGTAAATAACAAAGTCTCACTGTAGAAAATCTGGAAATTGGGCAAAAAAAGAAGGAAATACAAGAATCTCCAAACCCAGAAACAATCCCTAATAGTATTTTTGTCATTAACCATTTGAACAAAATTATTTTGTACATAATTATTTTATTCAGAGGGTAAGTTAGTATCTTCCCACAGCTTAAATCAGTTGTTACAGTATTTAAATTGTAAAATTTCCACATTTTTGTTATTTTATAAAATTTTACTAGGTGAATCTACTGTTCTTAAACCTTCCCCATCATTCAAAATAAAAATACTGTTTCTTTGCTTCATTACTTTTTTAAATTAAAAAAAATTATTTATTTATAAATTTATTTATTTACTTTTGGCTGTTTTGGGTCTTCGTTGCTGTGCGTGGGCAGGCTTTCTCTAGTTGCAGTGATCGGGGGCTACCCTTCGTTGCGGTGCATGGGCTTCTCATTTCGGTGGCTTCTGTTGCAGAGCACGGGCTCTAGGCGTGCGGGCTTCAGGAGTTGCAGCTCACAGGCTCTAGAGTGCAGGCTCAGTAGTTGTGGCACATGGGCTTAGTTGCTCCGCGGCATGTGGCATCTTCCCGGGCCAGGGCTGGAACCTGTGTCCCCTGCATTGGCAGGCAGATTCTTAACCACTGTGCCACCAGGGAAGTCCCCTGCTTCATTACTTTAAATGTAGCAAATGAGCGTTCTTTTTGTTTTTTAATAATTTATTTTTGGCTGCGTTGGGTCTTCGTTGCTGCGCACGGGCTTTCTCTAGTTTGCGGCATGTGAGCTTGTCAGTGGCTTCTCTTGTTGCGGAGCACAGGCTCTAGGCGCGTGGGCTTCAGTAGTTGCCCCTCATGGGCTCTAGAGTGCAGACTCAGTAGTTGTGGCGCACGGGCTTAGTTGCTCTGCGGCATGTGGGATCTTCCTGGACCAGGGCTCGAACCTGTGTCCCCTGCTTTGGCAGGTGGATTCTTAACCACTGTGCCACCAAGGAAGTCCTGAGAGTCCTTTTATGCATTAGAATTTGTTCATCTATTTGGAGGTTTTTCGGTTTGGGGGAAACTGATGGCACCTGAAATGACAGTATCTGATTCTACTTTGTGTATTAACTTTTTTTTTTTTTATTGAGTTGGTTTGATTGTAGGTGGTACAGAATTCAAGGTAGAACAAAGGTTGAAGAGCAGACTGGCAGGATTCTGGGATGGGTTTACTTTGACCTCACAGCTAAGGTAGAAGTGGCTAAAGAAGAGATGAGCCACTGTATGAACATTTAAGAAAAAAAAAGTGCCACAGGCTCCAAGACAACCCTTCATTCTAGCTAGAGGTGGCAACAGATGTTATGGAAGAGAATTCAGGTGTTTAAACAGCAATGGAAGTAAGGGTCACCATCACCTGAGGCATAAAGAACAGCTTAGTTTTTGCAGGAGTTCCTAATTCCACCTGTGGCCAGGGGACCCTTCCCCTTGGCCTTCACTTTTACCTCCAGCTTCTTCTCCTTTTTTTGTTACTGCTTGAAAGCCTTATCGTCCTCTTCCATCTCCTTGGCCTGCTTCTTGGGCTGCTTCAAGGGCTTCTTGCCACTGTGCCTTCCCCAGACCCTGCCACTGGAAGCAGTTAATTATTTTTGAAAGGAGTTAGGAATTATATAAAAATGTAAACACATTTTTTTTTAATATCGAATGAGAGTTGCAAGACAGTTGAAAAAGAGAAACGAGGAACCTAATAGAGCATTATGTAAAAGTTGAGTTGGGAGTCACTAGAATTGTAGAGTTTTATCTGTAGGCTCCATTATGGCTGGTATCTGTTTTTTTTTTATTAAAAACAGCATCACAATTGTAATGATTATGGTGGGCTATCTTTGTGAAATTTTTTGTTTAAAGGAAACCTACTTTGAGGGAATTCCCTGGCGGTCCAGTGGTTAGGACTCCGTGCTGTCACTGCCTAGGGTGTGGGTTTGATCTTTGGTCAGGGAACTAAGATCCTGCAAGCCACGTGGTGCAGCCAAAAGAAAAGAAAAAGAAAGCTACGTTGAAATTTATTTGTTAACAGGAATTTAAACTGCATCCTGATTTACCCAGTAGATACACACATGTATATAGTATATATATATATATATATATATATATATATGTATTTAAACAAGTAATATTCAAATTTTCTTTTTTTCTCTTCCCTTTTCTCCAATTCCTAATGTTATAATTTTTACTATTTGAGGGGGTATAAACATATAAATCATTTACTTTAAATGATGAAAGGTTGTGTTTCTATTTTTATTTTGTACTTGATTTCCTTGACGTTATCTTTGAGATTTTGGGCTTAGAAATACTTTATCATAGCACCTAACCTGTTCTATTCCGTTTGCTTGTCTATATTCCATGACAGACTATATACTCCTGAGGGCTAGAGTCTTGTTCACTAGGTTATCCCATTTACTGTAAACAGTGCCTGGCATGTAATTAGGTAATTAATAGCAAGAAAGGTTAGAAAGACATACACCAAATTTAAAAAACCATTATCTGAGTGTTGAGGTTATTGCTGATTTTTAATCATAATCATTATCATGTTGAAAACAGTGAAATTAATCCCTAGAAGGTGAGAGTACAAAGAAGACAAAAATGAGTACTGTCTGTGATAAATGTAATCACCAAGTCCTGATTTGTGCCCTCTGCCTAGTTTTCAAAAATAAACTGTTGGAATCCAGGAATGTAGGAGATAATGGTCCCCAAAGGAAAAAGATACTATGCGTGGGAAGACTTTATTATGGTGCCCCTAGTCTGAGACAGCGCTGGGACTCCTGGGAATTAGAAAGAGAACTATGCTACTTCCCCCTGTATTGAAGGATAGGGAGATCAAGAAGTAGAGACAAAGGGGAGATGGCAGATGTTGGAGATTATCAGTAGCTGTTTGGAATTTATTATTATGCTGTTGTTGTTACTTTTTAACAAATGATATTTTCTTTATTTTCATTTGAATGGCTGAGAAGATTTACTTCATGGAATTTAACAAAGATGACTTTTAATAGTTATTATTCTTCTGTTTGCTCCCTTAGCATTTGACATTGTGCAGCAAAGAAATGGTTATGGAGAAGCCCAGTCCGCTGCTTGTAGGGCGGGAGTTTGTGAGGCAATATTATACTTTGCTGAATAAAGCTCCAGAATATTTACACAGGTAAATTTTAATTGCATATTTGATATTTTTATTTGGTTTTATTTTTTTGAATATGACTACATATAAATTTTGTCTTTCCTGTTTTATGTCCTGACAGTACCTTTGCAAAGCACGCCCGGTATTTTAACAGTCTGATGGCTTAAAACCAGTGTTTTTCAAGTTTTTTTGACTCAAATCTATAGTAAGGAAAACACCTCACATTATATCCCATTATATAACACATTCACATCTGTACACATCACATACATATACACAATTACATACTCTTGGTGTTTTATATTTCATTTTTTTATAAAAACCACAGACTTGACCAACTAATGGGTTCTAGTCTATTGAAATCACAGACTTAAGTTTGTTTTTTGTTCTTTGGGGTTTTTTGTTTTTTGGGGGTTTTTTTGAGTTGTCTTTAGCATTGTTAGGAAATGAATCAGTTAAGTGATCATACTTGTGAAAATTACTTCTGATTGATCCACAAGATAGTATTCCTTGGTAAAACAGCAACAGTAGCCTTGTTTACTATTTTGGCAAGAGTTGGACATCTGTAAGGTTCTTTTTTCCCAGAGATTGAAATAAAATTGATTTATATTATGAGTAGTATTTATAATTTTTGTTCTACCTGGTTTATTTTAACAGGTGGAAGATAAGTGAGACCTTTGTAAGTATTAGGCTCTGCAAACATTTGTTGTAGAACACACTAGCCAAATGAGTTAAGGATAAATATACCATTGTCACTTCATGTGGGAAAGACTGTTAAAAGGACTTATTCTTTTATCTATAGGTTCTCTTTATATAATCATGCTGGGCATTCTAAAGTTTTACTTTGCATTATGCCCCTCCATTGTTAAACCTGTGTGTAATACTCCCTATGTTATCCCGGGGGCATTTTTATATAACTACCACCTCCTCCTGTCCCGTCCCCCCCATCAAAAGGAATACCTGTACATTTTCTATTATAAAAATAAACATTCTTATTGACAGGGTATGTGAATTTGAGGGAGAATGGAATTAATAAGGCCTTTTATTATCTGAAATTTAGTCTTCACAATGTAGGCATTAGCATTTTTAGCTTTCTTTTTTTTTAACAAGGAAAAACAAGGCTCTCTACCATCATTTCAAATAACAGCACAAACTTCTGTTTTATACTTAGCTATGTAACAGATTTCCCTGTTAATGAACATTTAGTTTTAATTTTTCACCTATTAACACTAATGAATATCCTTACACATGCATTTTTGTGCACCTTTCTAGTTATTTTCTTAGGCTAAGTTCCTAGAAGTAGAATTGTTAAGTCAAAGGTATGACTATCTCTAAGGCTTTTCTTATACAGCTAAATTGTCCTCCAGAAAAATGATAGCTGTTTACATGCTTGCCAGTAGTACATGAGAGAAAATAATATAAACTTAAAAATATGGGTAATGGTTAAAAGCATGGACTCTGGAGCCAGCTGCCCCAACTTGATAGGTGTGTGACCTTTGAGAAGTTAATTTAACCTCTTTGAACTTCAGTTTGTTCATTTAGATAATAGCACTTACTCCTGAGGTGTTAGGAGAGTAAAATGAATCAATATGTATGTAGTGCACTGAGAACATTGCTTGGCATGGAGGAAGTCTTACATGTTTTATTACAATAGGAGCTGAGTTCTCTTTACGAAAAAATTAACTTTGCATGTTGATAACCTTAATTTAGGAAGATATTAATTCTAATTGCTTTAGGTAATACCAGAGAAACACTAATTTGTCATGTACTTTAAGAGCAGTATAAAAATATAATTGAGAAATTAGATGCCGAAATAATGTAGATTTTTTTTAACTTAGTCTCTGAACTATTACAATTAATTTAAATCTAAACTTTTAACCTAAGCCTTTGGAATTAGTAATCATTTGGAACTCTCAGGAGAATGAATGTTAAACAGTATCTGATTCCCAAACAAATTTAGATAATTGAGTTTTTGTATCTGACGGGGAAAAAAAGGGTAAATTAACTACAGCATCAGTGTTTAGAATATATTTTGAATATCTCATTTTTCCACTTAACAAAATATAGATATGGTAAGAATTAGATGAGAATAGCTAATGACTGAGTGTATATTTAGTGTGCCAGGCACACTAAGAATTCTGTGTCATTACTCATTTAATCCTTACAACAACTCTATGGAGAAGTTACTCTTGTTCTGTTTTATAACCAAGGAAACTGAACTTTGAGGACTGTAAGTCTCAAGATTACATAGCTAATGAGTGACAGAACCTGACCTGGAAACTAGGTCCGTTTGACACGAGAACTCTACTGCCTCTTACACTTCTCTTCACAACTGAATGTCAGTCATTATCAATGGTTTTACAGGTTTTATGGCAGGAATTCTTCTTATGTTCATGGTGGAGTAGATGCTAGTGGAAAGCCCCAGGAGGCAGTTTATGGCCAAAATGTAAGTATCAATTTCATATGCATTTTAGATTACTTTAGGTTTTGTTTTTTGTTTTTTTTTTTTTTGAGGTAAGATAGAGATTTGGAAAATAGCTTCTTGTGCCAGTGGATTTCTTTTTGAATGTAATCAGCTATACTAGAATTATGTTACAGTAGTCATGGGATGTGCTTTGAGTTCTTACAAACATTGATTTTGTACGAAGCACAGGTATTACACTGGCATGGATACAAAAGAGAAAATGGAACATTTTAATATCCTTGGTGTATTTTATACATGAAATAGTTGAGACAATGTATAGCATTTATAGAAATGTGGTCTAAACCTTATGTTACAGGAGTGCATAGGAGTATATACTCCTTATGACTTTGTAGAGGATGTGGGACTTCCAGCAGACTCTGAATGATAGGTTTTGGCCTTACCAAACAAGAGGAAATTGAAAGTAGGAGAAATGGCATCAGCAGACAAGCAGTAAAGTTAGGTGCGAGGTCAAGGAGTAGTCAACACAGTTTACGTGAATGACTAGTACTTAATATGAAACAGTGGGAGAAAGCTGCACAAAGCCTATAATATGAGACAGCCGTTGTGATTTCTTGTATAGAGAGGTGACATGTTGAAACTAGTGGTTCTAGGAACATTAGTCTGTCAGTAATGCCTAGCATGGTGGAATGGATTCAAATGAGGCCGTTAATATTCTAGAGTTGCAAGGAAATCAAAGTCTGTAGTATTTAATAGGTAATGCAGTATCATGAGTTTGTATTTCCACCCCACCTTCTTCTCCTAATAAAGGATATACACCACAAAGTATTATCTCTGAACTTCAGCGAATGTCATACTAAAATTCGTCATGTGGATGCTCATGCAACCTTGAGTGATGGAGTAGTGGTCCAGGTCATGGGTTTGCTGTCTAATAGTGGACAGCCAGAGAGGAAGTTTATGCAAACCTTTGTTCTGGCTCCTGAAGTAAGTTTTCATTTCAATTAATTTTCAGTTACGTGATTTCATTTTACTGTTACTAGTTGCTTGAAGTGGCCAGAGTTTCTTCTTGCAGGCATAGGTATGCATGTAACATATTTTGAGAAATATGACCTGTTGATTAATTTATTTGAGCTTTGTGTGTGTGCTTTGACTATTTAGAAGTAAAAATGAGATCCTGATACTAATGTGTAAATAGATGATTAAGATTATAGAAATAATATTAAAAGTGTGTTATTATTTAATAGGTTACATATTAAACAAAATGGAAAAATTCTGTTTGTTAATTGGTCCTGGTTCTTTTATATTGAGTACCCATTTCTTGAGTTTCAGTATTCCTTGAGTGATCTTCTGTAATTTATATTAACATCAGAGCATGTTCAACTTTGGAAAATTATCTTCAGTCTATATCATTTCTGTATTATTAAAATAGAAATTGTGTTTATTTGTTGTATTTATGTAATACCACATTTATGGGTATTTATGGAATATTTGGATGTTGTTTTCTTATAGGGATCTGTTCCAAATAAGTTTTATGTTCACAATGATATGTTTCGTTATGAAGATGAAGTATTTGGTGATTCTGAACCAGAACTTGATGAAGGTGAGGTTACTTTGAAAATATAAGGGTTTTGTCAGTATCAGTACTCTTTAAGGACATGGAAAGTGTGAAACTAAAGAAATTTGCCTCTGTCGTAACTGAGTCAAACTCCTTTTCTCCTTTTTGTTCTTGTCCTTGTTATAAAAGAAATCGTTCATTATATGAAATTACATAAAAATCATACATAGGAAGTGAAAATTTTCCCTCAATTTCATCCTCTATAGATAACCAAGAGTTTGGTGCCTATTATAGACTTTTGTTGTGTTCCATACTGATCAGTACTTTTATAAAAGTGGAAGTACACTGGCTCAATGCTTGCTTTTTTTCACTTAATATATCTTTGTTGGCTGGGTTTGGTTTTTTTTTTTTTTGGCTATACCATAATTAACTAATTGATCTTCCATTGATATACATCAGCTTGTTTCCTTTTCTTTACCATTATTCCTCCATTGAATCGATGTGACGAAGGAAACTGAGTTATGACTTTAATAGCATTTTTTCCTACCCTTCCCTGTTACTAATAGGCCTTTTTAAAAAATAGAGTAAATTCAAAAATTCATCTGGCTTGCTCTTCAGTTTAAGAGAACAAGGAATATTGCAATTAAGTGCCTTTGTAAGAAATATCATGACTTCTTTAAACATTAAAAATACATATATCAAATTGTGTATTAAATCCTCTTAAGACGAGATACAGTATATTATGTATTTTCAGAATCAGAAGATGAAGTAGAAGAGGAGCAAGAAGAAAGGCAACCATCTCCAGAACCTGTGCAAGAAAATGCTAGCAGTGGTTACTATGAAGCTCACCCTGTGACGTAAGAATAGTGTCTGCAAGGCCAAATTTGGTCTAAACTATAATGTAGTTGCAAGCTGGTTTTTGTTCCTAGAATTATTGTTGAAAGTAAATTTTGCTAAAGCTGTGAAACCAGCATTTGAGAATTTACTCTGTATATGCAAAGTAAATTCTATATGGAAAGCATTGTTTTATTTAATTGAAAAATTGAATTTGGTTTGGCCCAAAACTGATCATTTGCTGATAATGCATTGTGTTTGGGACAACAGAGAGTAAGCATTTTATTTTTTGAATATGCGGTTTGTTTACAGTTAGTATTAAAGTAAACATTTTTAGTAATCCAGTTTTTAAATTATGTTAAAGAAATGCTGCTTGGGAGTATTATTCCCTCTGCCTTCTAGTTCTTAATGGACTTTTGCTTCAAAACAGCTTATTACTAGTTATGCCCATTAAATTAGAAATGCAGAATTTTATTTGAATTGATCATTTCACTCATACTGAAAAGTGAACAAAATATTTTATTGTAGTAATGGCATAGAGGAGCCATTGGAAGAATCGTCTCATGAACCTGAACCTGAGCCAGAATCTGAAACAAAGACTGAAGAGCAGAAACCGCAAGCGGAGGAGAAGAACTTGGAGGACTTAGAGGAGAAGTCCGCTTCTCCTCCTCCCGCTGAGCCTGTGTCTCTGCCACAGGAACCACCAAAGGTTAGAGCAGAGGAGCTCTTCACACCTGTGACGTCACACTGTCTTACTTGGTGCCATTAATGAAGCATGACCTTTGTTCTGTTAATTAAATTGTTTAATAGTAAGCTATGCTGTTTTTATGTATATGAAAGAAGCTGTGGGGATTTTTTTGGTAATTCTGAGGAAATTTTATTATATTTTCACCCCCTAAAAAACACCCCTCAGGGTAAAATTTAAGATTAATCCTTGTCTGTGTGCAGTGTTTAGTATCTTCTAGTCCATGTACTAAAACTGAGAGTTGCTCTTCCATTCGCTATTAAGTCCTCTATGCACGGATGCAACAGGAGTCATGCAATTTGCCAACTTAAAACAAGTTGGCCTATTGCTAAGAGAAGTGATTCAAGTTATTTCTGGTTTAAATGGGAACAATTTCCTTACTACACCAATTAAACTATCTTGGAAACATGAGTGACACCCATAGTGTATCATTTAAACCTACCTAAAACACGTTTTATCTTTCTGTAAAGTAGAAGGTTAAAGTATATTTGCGTAGTGAGAGAAGGAGATTCCTTGTTCAATTTGTGAATGTCTGTTAAACTTTCCAGCTAGTACTTTCTTCTTTCCTATCCTTCCCCTCTCCCCTTGACACCATCACAACACCTTATCTTCCCCCAAAAGGGGAAAGAAATTCGTTCTGTTAGGTTCTTATTTTTCTAGCATGTGTAGTTGTTAGTGGTTTTGTTTGCCACTTGCTCATCTCTTTAGAGCATATAGGAACTTGCTTGTGGATTTATTTAGTAGTTCAGACAAAACAGTCAAATAATCTTGCATAATGAGATTTTGAAAGCTGGCACATAGACTGGCATGTGTGTGTGTGCCTTTCTTTTAGGAGTCCTCCAATATAGAACAGTAGTTTAGAAATGAAAAGAAAATATATATTTGGAAGTTTCCCTATAGGAATGTTGGTGGTTTTCCATGATTAGTAGTCTAGGTTTGTTGCATTTCCTGCAGGCTTTCTCCTGGGCTTCAGTGACCAGTAAAAACCTGCCTCCTAGTGGTACTGTTTCTTCCTCTGGAATTCCACCCCATGTTAAAGCACCAGTCTCACAGGTAACCAATCTGTGAACACATTGGATTGTATCCTTGTTACATTGCCAATTGCTTATCTTTTTTATACTTTTTAAAATGAGTCAATCAAATTATGGATTAAATATACAAAAAAATTGTATTAAATGTCAGTGCACCCACTTTAATTGCCAAATCTCCATTCATCATCTACATAGGTGGTATTTGGGGTTTGGGTGTGTCAAATACAGATTAAGTTAGTTTTACCAATATATATTGTCATTTAACAGCCTTCTTAAAATAACCAAAAAAATATCCTTTTTAAAAATTTAGAATTTTATTTAGCAAAAATATTTTAGGGAAGAAATTTGGAAAGGCACAAAGTAGTATGGCATTATAAAGAATCATTGTTTTTTAAAAATAGAAAAAACTCTAAAAAAAATACACTGCCTAAGCTTTCAGTCTGTAAGTGGTTCATACTGTTTAATTGAAGCCTGTACCAACTTATGACTGTAGTGTTCACCTTAACTAATCATTCTAGTATTCTGCTTTTTGTCTGTTTGTCATCTTACCCATTTCAGAGCTTTCAAAAACATTGAAAATAAGACACTGGCTACCTAATAAGTTTATTAGGTATAGTGTAGAATTAACTAAATTCTAAAGTTAATAGGCATAGTTATAGGGTGTCCAATACTTTCCCCTACATTTTGAATCAAACTTCGTTCCACTAGAAAATTTACATTTAGAATGGTTAGTGCACATAAAATTGTGTTTATATACCTCTTTATATGCTCTAAACAGTGAAACTTTGAGATTTCAAAAGTAGCTAGTAATAGACAGCCTTTCTGGTGTTGTGTGCATAATCAGCTACGTAATAGAATACATGACCTCGTGATACCTTTTTTTTTTCAGCTAGATATTCAGGAAATATTGAGTAATTACCTCAGATCACAAACTAGAATTCTGTCTTAACGCAGAAGATTAATTTGCCTTGTATTGACTGCTTTTCTACCCATCTGAAGACTCAATAAGTGACTTGTGGATTTTTTTTTTTTGAAATGCTTGGTTTCTTATCAGATTTGCATTAGGAATCCTTTGGGTTGTTACTTAATTTCAGAGAGTTGGCTACATTTATTTTAAACTCACTGCTAGTTAAAAGTTAGAGTAGCTTATACCTCTTACACCTTTAGTGTGGCACCAGGCATTGCGCAAAGCACTAGCACGTAATATTTATTCTTATCTAATCCTCACAACCACCCTGTGAGTATGGTTACTGTTATTATTCCTGTTTTACAGATAAGTAAATTAAGGGCTAGAGAACTTCACCCAAGGTCAGATAGCTATGTAAATAAAAAAGTAGGGCTTCGAATTTATGCAGTTGGACACTCATGGAAGCCTATAGGTTTCTTTAGCCCTTGGAGGGGAATGTATCTCTATTTACATCAAAGAAGAGTGCTGTGTCTAAGCCATGTCTAAATTACATTATATTAGATCCTAACCTCTTGTCCAGGGGGAAAAATTTTTTTAAGTTTTAAAAAAAAATTGTAAGAGACTGTGATTCCCAGCCTACCCCCTTATTAAAACAAAAATTTAAACATTTATAATTTAAACCTTAAAAGAACTTTCTGATCTCCTTAAGCTATGTTAGAATGGATTCATGATTTTTTCCACTTGATTTAATAAACCCTTCGATTTTATTTTGTTACTTTGGTGTAGTATCCATTTCCTTAACACTTTTAGCATAGATTATTAATAAAAGGAGAATTAAATCTAATTCCAGGGTATTGGTAGGCATTAATTTAGAAGTAGGTAAGTTAATTTCTTGGTAAATTTCTTAGAAGTCGATTAGTTCATTTAAATAGCTTATGTGCAGTTGAAGTACATATTAGTTGTGGTTTTACCTGCTGTTGAGTTGATTTGATGGTTTCATGTTTATTTCATATTCTATTTGATTTTCATTTGTGGAATTTGTCATGTGAGCACACTTTTTGGTTGCATGGAATTAATTGTAAGGCCCTAAAGTAGTATGTGGTATCTTAGTTATTTTTACCTCCTTGGAGCAAATAGTTTTCATGAAATTGAGCCTGAAGAATTGTAAGTGTACAGCTGGCTTAGTTGACATACAGTAATCAGTTACTGAAAGAAATTTTGATAACTTTTTTTGGTCTCATTTTTTCTATATTGGCATCATCTAATATCTAAAAGTCAGGTTGCTAAATTAATGTGTGGCTTATTTGTAAGATGTTGGCACTTACTTAAATTTGTGTTTTTTAATTTTAAATCCTTAAAGGATAATGAAGAACTTTTTTGTTTTGTTACTTGCAGTTAGTTTTGTTTCAGTAATATGTTTTGAAAAGAATCTGAATCGGTCAGCCAGAATTCTTTTTCTTGGTTTGAATGAGTCGAGGTTTTTCTGAGACATTTAAATTAAAAGGTGTACATTTGCTATTTTTATTAATTTATTAAACATACTAGCTTCGTCAGACTTTGTTAGAGAATCTCCTTTAATTCTGTTTTACTTTCATACTGAAGTAAGTTTTGCTTTTAGGCCCTGCCCTGCTTAGCTGAAATTTCTAAATAACTACCTTTTTCAGGCATCACATTTTCGGTCAAATTATTATGTAGTCTTAAATTCTAAATACAGATAGAAGTGGTCTCAGGGCTGTAACTTAGGTCCCCTGGTCAGGCATAGAACATTCTCCTACATGTTTTGTTAGAGAACTAAAAATGTAATTTAATTTTAAATGAACCAATAGTTACTGAACATCTATGTCTGATGGCACTGTGCTTGGTTCTTTATCTGGTGTAGAAATAAGATATGGTCATTGTAGGAATAAATACATACTAAAAACCTGGGGAAATTAAACATTAAAAAAATTTTTTTTAACTAGCAAAATTCTAGAACATGGAAAGCAACTTCATTTTGAGGGAAATGGGAAATCTATATGGAAGAAAAACAATTGGGGGAGACAGGCAAATCTGTTAAAAACTGCTAGGGTAGGAGATAATGTACCTTTTGGTTACAGTGGGTGAAATTATAACAAATGGTTGTTTTTGAAAGAAACGTATCTCTTTGTATCAAAATGTGTCCTTGCAAATTATAATATCCCAGCTATATAAATTATGAAAGAGTTTGAGCCACTGCCTGGGCTGAGGTACTCAGAGATGATCAGCCATAAAGATAGGACTGAAATTACTAGCTTTCTGATTTGAGGATACATTCTTCATATTCCTGCTGAGGGTTTTCAGCATCCTTTGCAGGTGCGTGTATTTTGTCTCTTCCTCGGACCATAAATATTTAGGCAATAGACACAGCCTGAAGAGGTTGGGAATACTGAAAATGCCAATGTATTAAGGAAAAGGTAATAGTAGATGCGGATGTCATTTTGTTTTTAGCATAGTTACTTTAAATATATGTGTTCAATTTAGCAGTTAGCAGAAACTTTTGGAGAGTACCTTAAAATGAACTATTACTTCCCCTGCCACCCCCAAGAATTAATTAAGAAATATTGTTGGGGTCAGTCCTTAAATAAACGCACACCTCCCCCATTAGGAAGAACAATAGGGAGCTAAAGGACTTCTTTGACTATTTGAGATGCTATCAACACGTTCCTATCTTGTTTTTTTTTAATGTGCATTTTAACTTAAAGATAGTATTTTTAGATGGTAGAGTACACTAAATTGTATATTTTGAACTATCAAAATATGGATTTTTTAAAATAAAATTATGGGATGGGGTTTAGAAGATATTGCCGAGCACTATTAAATTTGAAGGGCAGCATACTAGAGAATTAGAAAGGATGTGTCATATATTCTTGTCTTAAGATAAAGATGGCTTTTTATTTTGTATATGTATTTACATGGAGTGGCTCATCTTGCATTTTTGAATTTTGTAGCGATACCTTTTATGCTATCTCAATGTGGATGTAACTTTATTGAAAAAATATGGTTGTAAATAAAAAGCAGCTTATTGTGAGTTATAGCCTTGAGTGAGAAAATAAAATTTACCCTACAGTCCTAGATTGGTACAGAATATCTTTATAAAAATTTATGTTTCACATATATAGGACACTATGTTAAAAATATTCTGAACTTAAAATGACCATTATGCCTTGGTTGTTTCTTTAGTTGTTTTTCTCCTGTGGAATGTGTTTCTTTATAATGTGTTTTTTCCCTTGTATTTTAGCCGAGAGTGGAAGCTAAACCAGAAGTTCAGTCTCAGCCACCTCGTGTGCGTGAACAGCGACCTAGAGAACGACCTGGTTTCCCTCCTAGAGGACCAAGACCAGGTGAGTCAGCCCCTTCTGTGGCCTTCAGCACTTAAGCACTTGAAAAGTTGAAGACCGAACTTAAAAAGATTTAAAAAAAATTATAATGTGTTTTATATGCAAATCTTTTTAGTACCAAACTGCTTAAAGGCTTAAGTAACCTGCTAAATATAGCCTGGGCAAAACAACTTTGAGGGGAAGATTAGTTGACATGCCATAGAGACATACATGTATTTTGAAGGTGTAAAAGAATTTAGAGACACATTTTATTTGGTTATTGTCACTGGTTCTAAGAATTCAAAACCAAGCTGCCAATAACCTACTCTCTTACTTAGCACTCTTATCTCTTCACAGATAAACAGTAAGCACACCCTGATTCTTCTTATTTTGATTGTCTTAGGTATTAAGTAAGTTGTCATGATTTTTGACTTGTTTCCATTGTTAGCTAATATATGTAGAACCTCTGTTTGAATTCTATAAGTATGTTTAGATTGCTTTTGGGAGGAGGTGGGAGATGTATACATCAAATTTAGAAAATGTAATTTTTTCCCACAAAAGTAAAATAAGTGATGTGCTATAAGTCATGGGAGCTGGGGTTTATCCCAGCTTTGTCAGTGATTGAGTTTATGATCTCGGGTGAGACCCTTAAATCATGAGCTTCTCTTACACCATTCAGTTACTACACACATTTTTCCTGTGTGATGCCTTTCTTTATATGCCTCATTGTGTTCCTTGTGTCATTGGGAGGATCAAATAAGATTTTATACATATACATATAAGAGCACTCTTATGTGTATAAAAGGCTATATAAATGAGATGTTATTGCTATTAAATTTATGGATTTGGCTATAATTTCATACAACCAAAGATTAATTTGTGAATTTCAAAATACTAAACAATTATTTAGTACAAGTATACCTCACTATCTGAAATCTATTTGGTTTCTCAGTGATGGCCAGAGTTTGGTTAAGGAGGAATACTTGTACTGCTAGTATTTGGCTTTCATATAATCAGACCAGTAGACCTAGAAGAAGGGACTTCAGCAATCTAGTCAGTGTTATGTTTTTTTCTAACTAACCTACTAATAATAGGCATTTCCACCTCTGTTGAAGGAGCTTATTAAATAAACTAAAACAGGAATATCAAGTTGTTTTTTTTTTACATTCATTGCTTTGAGCTGTTTTTTGTATGACATTGTAAACTTTAATATCTGCTCTTTTCCTTTTCTCAGGCAGAGGAGATATTGAACAGAATGAAGCTGATAACCGTAGAATAATTCGCTATCCAGATAGTCATCAACTCTTTGTTGGTAACTTGCCACACGATATTGATGAAAATGAACTGAAAGAGTTCTTCATGAGTAAGTAGTTTATTTTGCTTTATTGTAAAATTAAGCAGGAGGAGAAGAGAACTCTTTTCATAGTGTATTGAGGATTTTTTAAAAAAACATTTACCTCTCTGTACTATGTATATCTCTAGGTGCTAATCACCTTGATCAGAAGGGTGTAGAAGGTTGTACCAGATGTTTCTCAGTGACTGTACTGAGTGTTGACTTGCCTGATTCTGTAGAGGTTAGAAGAAAGAGCTGGATGAATCAGTCTTAGATTTGGAAATGGGATTCATCTGGCAAATTCAAGTCAGAAATAGAAAATAACATTGTCTCTCTGAAACTGTGTAGGTAACTTCCCTTTAGAAAGGAGTAATAAAGATGCAGAAGGGTGACAAAACAAGCTAGTTTTTATTGGCATCTTAAGTGAATGACCTGTAAGAGTGAATGTACCTTAATTGTCACTGGGTATAGCAGCTTGCAACTTTTGTTTTGAAATGGATCAAGGAGATTAAGGTATTTCATCCTGAACAATTAAAGTCACAAAATATTCTGTTAAACTATTTAACCCTTGGTGTAATGTATATTTTCACAGGTTTTGGAAACGTTGTGGAACTTCGCATCAATACCAAGGGTGTTGGGGGAAAGCTTCCAAATTTTGGTTTTGTGGTTTTTGATGACTCTGAACCAGTTCAGAGAATCTTAATTGCAAAAGTAAGTGACTTAAAGGGCATAATTCAATACTTTATTATTCCTGTTGTATTTAGTATTACTTAGAATGTCTTTTTTTAAATGGTAAAGTTAAAAATAGTTTACTATGAAATGGTATTTATGCAAAGAATAAAGATTTGTTAGTAGTTTTAAAGTCTGGAGTATGGATTGCTTTAAATTTATTTCATTATTTGCTCTGGTAATGAAGGTTGGAATAGGTTGCATATTGAGAATTTCATGAAAAGTTTTTTTGTCTCCCTGGATTTTCTTACTTATTTATGATACTACATTACTATTATTGTCTAACCTGCCCATGTAAAATTTTTTCTTCCCTTGTAAAGCCAATTATGTTTCGAGGGGAAGTACGTTTAAATGTGGAAGAGAAAAAGACAAGAGCTGCCAGAGAGCGAGAAACTCGAGGTGGTGGTGATGATCGCAGGGATATTAGGCGCAATGATCGAGGTCCTGGTGGTCCCCGTGGAATAGTGGGCGGTGGAATGATGCGGGACCGGGATGGAAGAGGACCCCCTCCAAGAGGTGGCATGGCACAGAAACTTGGCTCTGGGAGAGGAACCGGGCAGATGGAAGGCCGCTTCACAGGACAGCGTCGCTGAGGCTCCACTGTTGGCAAAGTTTTGGCAGTGGTACATTATTCATCGTGTTTGCATTCTTGTTAATTTTTTTTGGCTTTGGAATGTGACACAGCCTTTTTGATCATTTCTTTGATGTGAAAAGCATCTTTTGGTTATCAGTTAAATTGAGGTGGACATTATTTCCCCAGTTTTACAACAGGATTCGCATTGTTAATTTATAAATCTAGACTTGGAGAATTAAGGACTGAGAAATGACCATATCTTAAACTGTCTGCAACAAAAATGAACTTAAAAGGACATGCCCAACTGAATTCAGGTCCTTTGAGTCAAAAAAAATCCTCTGCTGCACATTTTGTTTAAGTGTTACTGTTTCTGCCTGTTAATGTTGGAAACACAAATAGTGCAATTTGTGCAATTGGAGAAACTTGCCTTTTTCCTTGGCTCCCCCCAAAAATACAAACCAACAGAAACTTGTTATGCACTAATGGGTACTCTGAACTCATTAACATTGACATCTGCAAAGGAGGCAACAGGGGAAAAAATCTTTCATCTTTTTTTCCAGTAGCGCATAGTTGTGAAATGATGAGGGCATTTTTACCTGCTTGCTGTGACCAGCGTGTGTATACATAAACCTTAACAAGACTACAAGTATATTCCAGAAGGAAATCATTTAGTTATGAACTAAATAACAAAAATCCGAACTTCAAATGCTGTGGTCTTGAATATTAGACCAGATTTAGTAGCTCCATATCTAAGATTTTTCTACCTGCCCCTCTTCAGTACAGGGATGGCTGGCTGCTCAGCACACTCCTCCTCCCCCGTTTCCTTTCTTTAAGCTGTGTACAGTGAAAATTGTCTTTACTGTATTCTGTTCTCTGGTAATGTAATGAGCATGATGGTGCCTTCTATTAATACATCATTCCAGTCTTGCTGGTAATTTTGTACAGTATAGTGTATGAATTGCTGTGCTGCAAAGCCAAACAGCTACAAAATGTTGAAAAATCATTGAAGTGTATAAAAATTGCAGTATCTTTAAAATCAGTAAAATTGACTAGCATATTATTTACCTTGTTCTTCAGTTAACAACTTTGTGTTCTCTGTGGGAGGGAGTCTTGTGTGTTTGGGAGGGAGGGGGAAGGAGGAAGTCAGTTATTTGAGTAAGTCTCTTGTTGACTTTTCTGTTAGCCTGAATGTGAACGTTGAAGCATATCACTTGAGAGGTGCTGGAAAAGTCAATCAACTTGATGCACATTTTTAGTGACATTTTAAAAGCAGTCAGATTCCATAAATGGCAAGTAAACCTGGAGTGAGGATACTGCAATTTTCAGAGAAAAGAACAGCAGCTCTTAAGTGTTTGCATTTCTATTTGGGGGGCAGGGAACTGTCATTCATTTTGCACAATTCTTGAACCGATGTCAGCACCCGAGTGGCTCTGAATTTAAGTCTGGGACGACATCTTTTATTTTTACATGAATTTCTAAACAATTCTGTGAGCAAAGTTTGTAGCTGCTGGATTATTGTCTGTCTTTATAGCAAGTTCCAGTAAACCACAAGTATGACAAAAGGATATCCAATTTTATGCTTGGAGCATTTAGTACCTACTAGTTTCTGGATGTTTCAGGCTAGGAGTGGGGTAAATAAGTGTGACCACTTAAAGCTGCTTGTTAGCATGGAAGACTTCTCCATTCTATCTTAGTAAAAACAAACAAAAAATGCACTTGACATAATAGCAAACTGGTTCTGAATTATGGAACTGTGTTTGCTGTTTAGTAAACTAGCAAATGATGCACATGTTTTGTTTTTCATGTACTGGGCGGTATAAGTAAAATTAAATCTGTCCCTTTTTTTCCCCCTTGAATGAGGTCTTCCATGTTCGAGGAAAAGTCTTGCACTATTGCGTATATTTTGGGGACACAGATTTCCCAGTTTCCCTTTTGGGGGGGGGGGTTAAGGATTTTTTTCCTGTTTGAAATACTTTTACACTTTCTGATGTATAGTACTTGAAGTTCTTACCAGAAAATTACTTTTGAGTTTTGAAGCCTGTATTCAAACTGCTTTTAAATGAGTGGTTTCTTGTCAGTGTTTTGTTTTTTATAGCATATTTTCCCTCTTTCATTTCTCTCTCCTTCCCATTTTATTTATATATATATATATATATATATATATATATATATATAATTTCCAATCCAAGATATTGCCCTGCCACCCATGAAAACTTCTGGCACCAAAAGTAATGACAAATGTTAAGTGTAATAGAAAATTAAAGCAAAGAGCCATTCAGCTTCAGTCTTTACATACCATGAGTAAAACATTAAAACATCACATGGAGAAGTTTACATGGTGATTGTTCACCTGCAGTACTGTGGACTTTTAACATTTTGTCCCCTTTCAGTGAACCAGAGTAAAAGTATTCATCTATCATTACTGTTATTTGCTGTTTTTTGTTTTGTTTTGTTTTTTGTTTTTTTTCTTTTGGGATGGTAATATTCTATTCTATCCTTATGACACTATTGCAACCAAATTGGCTTTACCATCTTGGCTTTTGTAGGTATAGAAGACAATGGATTACCATCTTTATTGCTGTAATGTGTTAAGCATTATATGCTAGTAGTATCTAGTTTAATTGTTTCAGGTGGAAAGTATTCTTTGAGTTTCCATTTTGAATGTGTTTGGACTAAACAAACAATAAACTACTGATGTCTGCAGCATTTATCTATGTCCCTAATTTAATCTATAGGTTTGTGTTCCAGAATATTTTCTCCCAGTTGCATTTCACACAACCTAAGTAAAAATAAGGAATTATTCTAAAACCAACTATTATTTGTGAAATTTGATATATAAAATAAATCATTTAAGTAAGACTTGAACATTGTTAGAGACCTACCTCAGTTCAGTTAGATAGCCGGTATACAAGATAAAGAATGTTAGAACAGAATAATAGGTGGTAAGGAAGGTGAGAATGATGTAAAGAAGACGGCTAAACATTTATTTTTTATAAAAATCTTGGGTTTTCCAAAGGATTGCTAAATCATCTCAGAAGGAAAAGAGAAAGGGGATGGGAAGACTGAGGTTATCTGAAGTTAAGGACATGCCCCGGTTCAGCAATTAGAACAGATTTGTCAAGCTCTGAAGGAATATTAAAAAGGAAAGAATAGTCATAGTTATGAATATATACTTTAAATGAGTAGTGAAGTCATAAGGCCTGTGTAATTTCAGAACTTTGTTAAAAGGGATGATAAAAGTGAATTTTCATAACACTTTATGAAGATTCCTTAAATCAGTCTTCACAGGTTTGTACTGAAGCAAAGCCAGAACAATCATTAAATACTGCTGGGCAGTAAGACTTAAGATTTTTATAAATGTATATTAAACTCCTTTCAATGTTAATTATAATGTATAATAACATCTAATTTTATGGCTGTGGAAAGTTTTATTTATTTTTTTCTTTTTGCGGTACGCGGACCTCTCACTGTTTTGGCCTCTCCCGTTGCGGAGCACAGGCTCCGGACGCGCAGGCTCAGCGGCCATGGCTCACGGGCCCAGCCGCTCCGCGGCATGTGGGATCCTCCCGGACTGGGGCACAAACCCGTGTCCCCTGCATCGGCAGGCGGACTCCCAACCACTGCACCACCAGGGAAGCCCTATGGAAAGAATTTTTAGAGGGGGTAAAATGTATATGCGATACTATATTGCAAACAGAACCAGATTTGAAGGAGCAAAATATCATTTGGTCCAGGAAATTTCATGGAACAAAATATTTGAAAGTTTTAGCCCTACAAGATGCTACGTTTCAAACTGTGTTGTGTAATACAGTCTTTGTATCAAGTGAATGAAAATTTAGTGGATATATGTTGATATTTTTCCTTTAAATTAGGACAGCTTGCTCATCGTTTATATTTAACTACAGATGAAGACTTGATTTTTTTTCATTCTATGTTCATAAGACTTTCTAATTATTAAGTCTTGATCAATTTAATGCCAGAATTCTAAATTATTTTAAATTACTGGATAAATGAATTATTTATTATGTCCTGAAAGAGATTTCCCTTCGTGATGGATTTCAGTGGGTTCATATAGTGATTGTTTTAAAAAAATGTGCATAATTAAGTCAGAATTCCTAAGTAATGAAGTTTCTGGGTATTTTTGACAAAGACTGAAATCTTCCAATCTATGTAGTATATAAACACCTTATACTTCAGAATTAATAGGAAATGAAGTCTGTTTTTAGCATTACCACATACTGGGCAAAATACTATAAATGTGGGTTTAGGATTAAACATTCACAGAAAGATTACTACTCTTGTCCTTGATCTCCTAAGAGTTTTGATAAAGCTGATTGCCTAATTGGAATGCTTTGTTTTGTGGCATTAATAATATTCTTTTAACTGTTCCTGTTTTCTGTACTCTATCACCCCATAACCACCATTATCCCCCCAACACACACACACACACACACACACACACACACACATCTCTTCTGTCCTCAGTCTCTTTCCCCACAAATTTTCTCTGAACGGTTTCATTTAGGCCAGGAACTACCTTAGCTTCAGTATATTGTCCATTCAGTAGACTCCATATAGTGTGATGGTCAAGAGAAGGGCTTTGGAGACAGTCTGGCCTTGAATGGCAACTCCACCATTCAATGGTTACATTTTCTTTTCTTTTTCTTTTTTTATTTTTTTTTACATCTTTGCTGGAGTATAACTGCTTTACGATGGTGTGTTAGTTTCTGCTTTATAACAAAGTGAATCAGTTATACATATGTCCGCATGTCTTTTCCCTCTTGCGTCTCCCTCCCTCCCAACCTCCCTATCCCACCCCTCCAGGCGGTCACAAAGCACCGAGCTGATCTCCCTGTGCTATGTGGCTGCTTCCCACTAGTTATCTATTTTACGTTTGGTAGTGTATATATGTCCATTCCTCAATGGTTACATTTTCTGAGCTCCTGTTTAACTCATTTGTAAAATGAGGTGGATGATTGTGAGGATTCAGTGAATTAATACATAAAGCACCTAAAACAATGTACTGGGCAGTCAGCAAGTGTTATGTGATACTGTTTTTTACTCGGTTGAATTTCTACTGCCTCTCTATTCTGTGTTTCAAACACTTTTTCAAACACTTGTCCCGTTTTGAAGTCCTTCAGTAATTCAGAATTTGAAAGTCCAAAACAATGTGTTTTATCTTTCTAAGTGATATGCATACCTGGCTCTCTGATAATGAACATCTCTCTTTTTCTGACCTATTTAACCTAGAAATGTTTGTAGTCTCATCTGTTCTACTTAATATTTTCTGTTTGTCTCCCTTCTATCCATTGTTCAGGCTGCAGGAAGATCTGTTCATGCTCTTATTAACTTTCACTGGCTCATTTAATTCATTAACTATTGAACTTCTATGTGCCAGGTGCTGTTCTACGCACTGTTGATAAATGATGAAATGAACAAGGTTCCCTGCTCTCAGGTTAAAAAGGTCTAAAAGTTAGTGTTTGCATATTTAAGAAGGTAGCTAGGGGGCAGACCATAAGGAGGTAGGTCCTTATCCCAAGACCAATAGGAAGTTGAAGATTTTGTTGAGTGACAGGAAGGTAATTCTACTTTGAAATCTCTGGAGTTCAATAAGTTAGGTCTCTGGGTTAATGGAAGGAGTTAAATATGAGTAAATGAGGTGAAAGGATGATGTAGTAGTTCAGTCAAGAGCTATGAAAATAGAATGGTTGTAGTAGCTTGGACTAGAGTGGTGATGTTAGAAACCTAAAGAATTTGAAAGACTTAGGGGGTAGAACAACAGCCAGGTCTTGGTGAGGAAAAAGGTGGTATCTAAGAATCTGAAGTTGTTCACTTGCATAATTGGAAAAGTAAGGTGATATGTGGAACAAATTACTGATTAAAAAAACAGGTTTCATGATGGGGAGGCAGGAGTGCTGTTGGAACCCTCTTGGCTTTCGGTGTGAAATGGACCTGAAAAGAGGAAGCTGTATAGAAGGGTATGTAATTGTGACTTGCGCCTTTTAATTTCAAAAACAGTATATAGAGTGGCAAGTTTTATGTGTATTTTATTTTATGACAACACAGAAGCATGGTATGCACATCACAGAAAGTAAAGAGAATCCAAAAGAATGAACATCCACAATTCAGCCTGTAGATGATCCCTATAAATACCTTGGGGGGTGTGTGTGTGTGTGTGTGTGTGTGTGTGTGTGTGTTTTCCTTTATACTATTAAACATTGCTTTAATGAAGACAGACCACTTACTGGTGTTTATCAAGTGTTTATTGAGCACCTCTGTGTGCCAGGCACTGTTCTTGATGTTGAGGGTACATGAGCAGGACAAGTCCGTAGGCCTCCCTCTGAGCTTATGTACTTTACAATGGAGAAGGGTAGTTGTAAATGCGATGTAAAGTAAAGTAAAACAAAGCAACTGAGTGGCAACTTTAGATGCCTAGAGTTGACATGAAACATAGGAGCTCTCCACTCAGGGACTAGATAACATGTAAAGCTTATAAAATTGGAAAAACTTAGAGGGTAATGAGAAGAAGCTGGGATAGGTGGATTGGGGTCAACGGGGGCAAAATGCTAACAGGTGAACTAGACTGGATCATATAATTAGCCTACATAACCAGTTTATTTGGGTATCTTTCCAATTGCAGTATGAAGCCATTAAAGAGAATTAAGCATAGGAGTGATATGCCATGTAGAGGCTAGATGGTAGGAGGATAAGAATGGAAATGAAGCTGTTGTGGTAGTTCAAGACTATATCTGAGGGAGGGAAATAGATTTATTTAGGTTATTTTTTGGCAGCTGAATTTAGGTGTCTGAAAGGAACTGAGAATGATTCAAGTTCTGAGTAGCATAAACGTACAAATCAATGAAAATCAGATATTTCCACTTTAAAATAGTGTAACCAGTAAAATAGTTATCTTTACACCCATTTTTATCTCTAAAATGAT